GTCGGGTTTCGTCGAAGGATGGGTTTCACAGTTTGGATGCCCTTCCACCGTGACAACCGACAGAGGCCAACAGTTCGAATCCGCTACCTTCCAGAAGCTGATGAATCTGTTGGGATGCAAACGCATCCGCACTACCGCATATCATCCAGCTTCCAATGGTTTGGTGGAGCGATTCCACCGACACCTTAAGAGCGCACTAATGGCAGTCGACAATATGAAATGGACTGAGTCTCTGCCGTTGGTTCTTCTCAGCATCCGTTCTACACTCAAGACTGATATACAGTGTACACCTGCTGAGTTAGTTTACGGTAGTAACTTACGTTTGCCGGGTGAGATGGTCGCTTCAGACTGTAGTGACCCAACTCCTACCGATATCCATGGCTATGCTCAAACTCTTAAGTTACACATGCGTCGCCTCCAACCCTCATCCACACGGATACAGTGTAGACGGGTGCAGCTGGATAAAAGACTCCAAGATTGCACTCACGTCTTTGTGCGTTGTGACGGTGTACGTAAACCCTTACAGCCACCATACGACGGACCCTTCAAGGTTCTCAGTAGGAAAGAAAAGTTTTTCGTCATTGACAGATCTGGACGGCAGGATTCTATAAGTGTCGATCGTTTGAAGGCAGCTTATATAGAGGACGACCCACCTTCCTCTACACCGACACAACTAGAAAAACCCTTGCCGCCAGACTCCCAAACAGACTCGTTTAGTCGCGCGTATCCTGAACCTTCTAAAAGAGCCACGTCTAGTAACACTGATCCAGTACCCTCTACACGTGCTGGGAGGCGTGTACATTGGCCCAAGCGATACGCCGATTTCGTTAATTAGCCCCAGAGCAACTTCACACTTGGTGAATTCGGAGTTTCAACTACTTTGTCGTGGCATACACTTTCAATGCGTTTTCATATCTAAAGTTTTCAAAAGTCTTGTTTACTACTTTGCAAACAGTTTTTTTCAAAAAAAAGAAAAACCAAAAATACAATTTAAATTCCGAAAACTTTTTTTGGTTGGTTATTATTTTTTTTCTGTACTCCTCCCACTTCGAATTGTTTGGTTTTCCTTTTCTTAGCACTCTAATGTCCCATTTCTTTCTTCTTGCAGAACCTAGAAAATGCGTTGAAAATTGGATACAATTGGCCGCTGACGATGCTACTTGGATCGTTCTTCGGTTCTCTTTGTACCAATTTCCCCCTGTACACCCCCCGGTAGATTAAGAAGCAATAGGGAAAAGTAGACGGAGGCTTTGGGTCACCTTCCACCACTGCGAGAAGGGTTGCGTCTAGACGCAAAGTTATCTTACCTCGTAGGTGTGCATAGTTGCACTAGCTTCGGAGACCCACACGTCACCTACTCCATCACCAATATGGAAAGGTGTTGCGTGTCCGCCTCGCAGTCGCCTCCTAGGATCGAAGGTTGCCGGTATCCCAACAACCTTCTAGGAGGGGGATAACCTGTAGTGCACCTTCCTGGCACCAAAATATAACTAGGGCTAAAATAAATAGTTTAAATTAAATTAACTAAATAAATCTCTAGCTTGCCTCCGGATGCTTAGGGTGTTTTAAGTTTTGTTTTAACGAGCATGCATCCGAGCAGGCTTGGACGCCATTTTGCGCTCCATTGTGCTGATCACCACGCACGTACTCCGAGTCCCTAGTTCAGCCTTACAAGCCAGATAAGTTGATTAAACTTTTCCCTCATTCATTATTATCACATTTACCTTAAATACATAGCTCCTTTAAATACATTGCGTATCAGTTCTTTTGATTTGTGTTTTGTTACCAGTACTTACACGTTAGGTAAAGTACTGGTTAAGCAGGTACTAGAGCACATCAAATTAAGTAGGGTTGATCAAACGTTACGGAATTGTAACACGCATCCCTACAAAGTTACGAGGCTATGCAATATAAGTGTTCTTAGTGGCCAGAGTAATCTGGCCTAACAGCTAAGCCACCACCCGAGAAGCCTTTATCGGTTTATGTCACAGAGAAAACCGACGGGTGAAGGTATGAAACTGATTGCAGGACTGAACGGAGAACCCTCAAATGGCAACGCAATGGCGGGAATGTTGAGCAGTCGATCTGATGAACACCTCAACACAACTATGCACCCACCACTAACACCAAATAATGTAACAAAGATCTTGGACAGAGATACCAAGTAAATAAACACAAAGGTATTGCAAAACCAGGAGTCCACGAAACCTAAAACACTGAGAATGGGAAATCTCAGAGCTGTGACGCTGAGGTGCCACGTACCTCCTCGAACACAACAGCCTTGGGTAAGCCGGGTTCCAGCATTTGTACTGGCCCTCATAGTTTCATCGGACTTGCCGAGCCGAAGGCACACGGTCAAGCATCCGCGCCGCCTGACACGCTATCCTGTTATGTTGCACTGCCCGCGATCCATTCTCTAGCTTGAACACATCGGTATTTTGGCAAGACCTCACAAATATAGTATTCCACCTGACCACCCCATTATGTTCTTCCTTGGAGTCACATTCGTTGTCATATTACAAATATGAATGATTAAAGATTTGCCCCTGCATTTGTCAAGTTCGCACAAGGACAATTCCTAAAGCGGCATTATGACTGGTAGTGTAATGATACTTTGGGGAATTTTCTGTTATGCACGAATGCAATCTGCCCTTGTCCGCAATGGAAATAAGTCACTCCTTGAGAGAATGGGGGCGTGGTGTCCTCTCAGTATTCCTTAACTGCGGAAGCGCGCCAAGCCAGTGCAGCTATCGGCCGATAGTGCTGCCTACCGCACCATCCAAAGTACTGGAATGCCTGGTTGCTGACGTTAATTAGGGCTGAATTAACGGGAAAACCTTGTCCATTCCACCCAACATGGCTTAAGAACCGGACTACCGTGCATCACAAGCTTGATGACTGTCTGGAACTGTCGTTCCAGTCGACAGTGTGACAAGCTGCCAGTCCATGTTACCTATCTGAACTTGGCCGAAGCCTTCGCTAGTACTCTGCACTACAGCACGCTAGCTAGGCTTTAAAACTGAGTATCACCGAACCACTCAGGGAATGGATTACAGCATATCCAGAGGATAGAGAATTCTGTGCGACTGTAAACAGTTCACCTAGCCTGGAGGCTGAAAGGATAGAAGTTTCATAAGCAGTAACACACGGGCCATTCCCTTTCCTGCTATTCATCAGCAATATCACCACTGAGATTTCCTCACCTTTCCCTTCATTTGACGACGAGATCAAAATATGGAAGACCATATGTAAGGAAGAGGATCTGGGGGACCTTCTTCAAAAAGACCTGCAGAAGCCAGTCTTGTTCAGCCGCAAATGGTATGAGGTTTTACGTGCGGAAGTGTGGTGTGATTTATCTTCTTACACCGAAACTGATAAAAATCAGCTACACCCTTGACAAGCGTGCAATTACCTGAGTTTCCACAGCAGACGACCTGTAAATAAATTTCTTCGACTCTTGATATGAGTGCCGACTATGAGGGAATGGCGGCAAGGGCGAACGTTATCATTCAATTTCAAGGGAGGCAGCTTACAGCAGTGACTCCTTAATTGTTCCTCATGATATCTGAAACCTACATTAAACCACACCTAAAGTCATCAGACACGATAGCCCCACATTAACCGAAGAGAGACACGAGTGTCGTCTGGGAGGTAAATGGAAGGGTGACGGGGCCGGTTATCGGACATAAGTGAATGACATACACAGCGCCTCAGACAGTTCAACCTATTCAGACGAAGTTATCCAGGGAAAAAAGGCGACCTAATAACAGCTGACGATCACCCACCAAGTGGACAACCCCAACAAGTCAACACAATCGTCCCTAGCCTGGCGGTCTCGTAGGCAATCCACCCTCAGACCCCATCAAAAGGCAAGGACGAGCAGGAGATTTAGCTGCTGATGTCCCTGGGAGTGTCACATGAAACTCTCTGCCGAGATAAGCACCCACAGCCACATCAGTTGCCTCCTTCAAACGACTACTGGATAAGTATGTGAGTGCGAACGGCTTACCATGAGCATTCACCGGTAGCAGCTGAAGCTGTTCTCATCCATCCTTGCACTGCCCAACTTTAGTATCTGCAATAAGACCCGCTCCTTGTCCACGTTATTAACAGAAATGTCTACTATTCTATGAGTACTTTTTACACATCTTTCTCATTTCCACTCGCCCTATTTCTCGCGCTGCGTTTTAAATGGCGTTTAGTACTTGTACGAGCTTATAAAAATGTGAGCTGCAAAAGGTCAGTTGATCTTATCAGCAGCTTCATGGTACTCCCAAATCGACCAGACTACAATTTGCGAAACAACAGCATCAAGTGGACGATAGCTACCTCCAAAACTATAATCAGGTAAACTATAAAGACTTCTGCGACCACCGAAGAAAAATGATCGAATAAAAAGAACTAAGCTTCATGATCTAGAGGCGACAGCCATCGGTTTTAGATTTCGTAACCTAGTCAATTAACCTTGCCTTGGTTTTCGACATACCCTTATTTTGAGCTGCTTAAATCCCTTCTTGAATACTCAGATATTTGGTCAAAACCAAATTCTGACAACATCTTTTTGGATTGGTATTTTGCGTCCACAGGCGAATGTGATACATGTATAAAAGGCACCGGCTAGAGACTCAGCAAGCATAAAGAATACACTCAGACTTATTAGTAAAAGGCAACTGATAGTAGTAGTAATTCATACCGAGCGTTATACGCAAAAAGTTGATTTCCTCGCCGTCACCTCAGTACATTGCTGAGTGATTCCTCGCTTTTGGTAGATCCCAACGCATTTGGTCTGCCCACTGACTTGCACTAGATCCCAATTTGAATGTTGATGAACTCTAGGTATCACTGATGACGTATTCTGGTGCTAGTTGAGTGAACTGTAATCTCTGGGCTTATACATGCCCACCTGTGTGCCCTCTACAACAGTGCATCCACAGGTAGATGAAAACATGCGACTAGCTAGTCGTTACAAATACAAACATGGTAAATGGGTGTTGGACATTAGACAGTATATGAGCTCAACGGCGGTGAATGGTAATATTTGGTTTGAGTGGTATTTTGAAAACTCTTGTTATTTATATCCACGACTTGCAACGTTAACAGGCATTCATCTAAGCGTTTATCTTTGGTGTAGTAGCTATGTAATAGGTTATAGGGAGATACCAAGGTACTGAACAACAGCGAACATATCCTTAATCCTGTATGTAATTGCTTGCACGCTGTAGCTATAGTGTATTGTAGCTATGGTATACCATAGTACTGCAGTAATATAATACTATAGCTATAGCATTTCTTGGGGATTTTTACGGTTTTTCCATCTTAAGGGGTAAACCTTATTAGGCCTATCATGATGTCTCGCTGTTTCCGATTTTCATTAACGGTGTTGTCATAATTCTGCTTATCTTGGTAATTCGTGTGTTGAATGTGACTAGAATGCCACTCTAACTTGCAAGTTACAAGTGGCAGGATTGAACGTCATGGTTTGTACCTTTTGAACCCATCTTAATATGTCGACAGGGAACATGCGATTCAATTGCCTTCAGTAGTTGTATTTAGTTCATGATTAATTATGATACTTAGTAGTACATTCACCCACTTTTGGTAATAGCATTTCATCAGTCGAGTACTTCTTTGTATTGCCTTTGCATATTCGCGTGACTACACTGTTGGTGCCATTGGTTTTTTAAGTGCAGTCTCATGGATCAATCAGGATGCCTTGTGGGAGCAGCCTGTTCTAGTCTATGAATGGCCATCAGAGTTTAATGTCGTCTTTAGACATGAAGATAGACCAAGTCTTCTTAAGCAGCTATTTCATGTACATTTAGAGGGAAAGTGAACCTAAGGCTGTACCTTTCGGAACTTTTATATACTTGTCTCCAGGTAGACGAAACTCTACGTCTGTTTTAAAGAAAATATTTAATCCAGCTCCTAACTACACGATCGATCCCAAAGACAGCTGATGCCGTTTCCGGATCCGGGCGAGTAATATTATAAGTAGCTTCCCTGACTTAAGTGAATATTATACTTGTTGAAGCAGTCATTTCACTCAGCGGTTCAATCTTTTGTAGTGATGAGATATGTTAGTCACAGGTTGTCACCCTGAACTCGTGTGTTTCTGCATCTAAAAGCCTATTTCACCCGTCGTGCAGCAGAATGGCATTGCGGATGATGTATTCTGAAAGCTTAATTATTGAGGTAGTCAAACCGACAGGACGGCAGACACTTGATACATATGGGGATTTTTATAGACCAAGCTGAGGATGGTATCTTTTCGATCGCCTGGTGTTTTCTACTGTTTCAATGGCATATTAAACAACTGAGATGACGCTTCAGCGAGGATATCTGCTAATGCTGATAATATGAGGGGATGTAGCTCATATAAACTACAGAACTAGCCTATGTTCTGGGGTAGTCTTAAGACAACTTTGATGGGCAATGTTTCCATCTGTGATATAGTCTATAAAGCATTTTCCGGACACTAAATACAACTTCCGTAGAATCCCTAACTGAAGTACTCTGATAAAGCCTCAGCATCAGTCATTATGTTATCAGCTACTTGTGCTGAATCTTCATGCAACATCAGGGTTGTGAGACATTTGTTTAAGCTAATCATTCTCATAATACGAAAATTTCCTGTCCTAATTCTGTCTACATTTATCAGAACGCGTTGTAGTATAGGCGTCCCATAATCTTTTTCTCTGGTAGTCCATACTCATCCTGTCTTATCCACGGAAGACAGTTGGTTGAACTATACAGGACTTGTCAGTGTATATGATGGCATGTAACAGTTTTGAGTATGTTCGCAAATCGACTCCACATTTCGCCATATAGATGAGGCTACAACAATTGACCAGTCTACGGATGAAGAACGTTTATTTAGCCGTCATGTTAATCCGCCAGGCGTTCAGGAGAGGTTGGAGGGTCATAGTCCATGTCATAAACTCCGGACTTGAATGAAAGTATTTCATCGCTGTTTGTTAGTGGAGGTAGAATATTTAGGCTGGATATAAAATCCACCTTATTTCTCAGCAGGTTTAGTAAGAAAACCCCTGACTAAAATCAGTAGGTGTGGCATCGCAGACGAGCTGTATCAGAGCATATTCAATAGCAGATAGTTGTTTGCTATCCAATAAATTAGACGATCCTGTTAAGAATATTTCAACTCAACTTAGCCTGTTTGCGTTAAAATTTCCTACTATGACACAATGGCTGTCTTTGATCCAATCGCTGGTATACTCTAGTATGAAGTCTTCAGCCTGACGGGTTGGGTTGCTATAGATCGCTCAAACAACAGCTGTGCATCCATGCAAGCAGACTTTGCAGCTAGTGGTATCATAAGTCCCAATATCAGATGCTGCAGTAGTGGTGAATGGTATTTGGAGATCATCTTTGAGATAAAGCATTACACCACCTTTGCACTATTTCTGTCGCTTTGAAGTGAGTTGTATCCTAATAAATAGCGTTTTATTCAAACCACGTCTCTGCAATGGCCACATCGACCGGTGGCAGTTAATCTTCTAAAACTCCTAGCTTGCAGAATTTGCTCCAAGGGCCATGTGCATTAGTGTAACAGACCCTTACGGTTCTTCACATGACCTATCGACAAAGGTGTTGGGAACATCCGTGTCTATGACCTGACTCCGAAAACTTACTTACTTGGATTTCTTATCAGCATTTTCACGTCCACTTTGTATCTTTGCTGTTGCCTTTTGCTTTATTCTGTCCTTCAGTAGCCCATTAAACCCAACCGATAGCTACTACCTTGACCTGTTGGTCGGGGTTGTATACAACAATAACCCAACAAGCTACACCTGCAAAAACTTGTTCCCCAAGGTCTTTTGGATAGTGGTTAGACAAAAAACAATCACCACTGTAATGTCAATTGCTACACTATGATAGGGGTCTGAGAGAGAAATTGTAGTGCTGACTGGAGAGGTGTGACAGCCGTAAGGTGTTTCCTCTGGATGACCAGCAGTGCTACGCTGATGCTACCTTCTCAACGGGAAGGAGGATTAGGAAAGATCGGCTTCAAAACTAACACACTACCTGTGGCCCACGGTCTTCTGAAGCCGGTGACTCGGATTGTTCCTATCCCGCGTTAGAACAACCAAACCTCAAAGCAACACCTCTCAAAAAGCCATCTGTGACGGGCCTTAAGCAGATGTCCCAGGGCCTCTGAGATCACACAAATCTTTTTCTTACTCAGGTATCTCAAAAAGAAGTAGCCTCCTATAACATGGTGGTGGTGGTGGGGGGCAGCCGGGAAGTGTCAACCGCCTACACGCTCCCAGTAGTACACAAGACTCACCCGAACATAATCTAACCTCCTCAACTCTGTCTCCTCCCTTGCCTTCACCTTCTAATACTAATATTAAGCCTCTTATGCCCTATCCAACCTCTCACTCGGTAACCATTGCCTACGATCAAGGCCATCGAAAAGTCATTTCTAGTTTCGTAAGGCTGCGTCATCGATTTCATGTAGGAGCTTTCAGCATCCGAACTCTATGCCGGATCGGAAGAAAGCATCACTCATCAAAACCCTGAGATTCCGAGCTATAGATGTATGCTTTTGTCTCTGAGACACCTGCGTGTGGTTATTAAATTGACGTGACTTGATCCTAGTAGTGAATCTTCAAAATTCGCCATACGATTATCCGGAGACCCAGTGACTAGCTCTCGTGGACTCGCTGGTTTATGCATAGAATTCAGCTGCATGGCAGAAAGTGGATATCAGTAAACAACCGTCACTGCTTTTCGACTGAATGGATCTGTTAGGACTAGAAAGGATCGTAAGACTGGGTGGTGCGTACTCGTAATCTCGGCCTACGGACCCACTGACTGCAGTTCGGATGATGCAAGGGATGAATTCTATGAGAAGCTGTCAACCTTGCTGCTGCATGCAAAACGTTCAGATGTAGTCATGACGTCAGGTGACTTAAACACTCAAATGGGGAAGCTGAGCAAATCGGAAAGGCATGTTGGGGGGGGGGGAGGGGAGGTGTATTTACAGAACCCTATGCCAACGAACCGACAACAGTGATCGTCTGTTGCAATTTTGTCCCGACAATCACTTGTTCCTGGTGAGCACTAACTTCAGGCATGAGGAGAGACAGTCTCACATGACGCCTGTCGACTTCAAACCAACGACTAACTTAGATGGATCACATTGCTACAGGTCGTCGTTGGAGAGGATCGGTGGAGGGTTGGTGCTCTCTCTGGAGTACCAGTTTGAATTTTGATCACGCGTTAGTACGGGCTGGTGTATGTTTGCGCCTTACTGGGTGCATGAAACAGGAGGGATTGGGGTCTATCTGTCCTCTATTGGAAGGTGAGGACACCAAGTACGTATTTAGATAGGAGTTAGCTGATTATTTATGTGAACGCGACGGGAATGCTCATCGTGAGGAAATCTGGCGTAATATTACGCCTATTGTAGGAGCAGCGGTGAAGACAATTGGCAACATGCCACCAAAGGTTAGCAAACGTGAATGTATTTCCGCGAAGTCATCCGAACTGATTGATGCGAGAAGGCTGATTGTAGCTTGGTCTGACCACAATGAAGAGCGAAAGCGACTCAAATATAAATCGCAGGGTAGTCTTCGTAATGATTGCGAGGTATCGTAGGTGGCGAAAACGAGAGCGATGGAGAGAACATTAGCGTTGGGTGAAACCTGATAACCATTTAGGCCTATTTAAGATACCAGCAAGAAAAAGATGGTGGTTGTTGAAATCGTCACCGGAAAAGAAAGGAATGGTAATATCGTCTCAGGACAGAAGGCTAGAACGTTGAGTAGAACACTCCGAAGCGCAGTTCAGGTGGCCAACTGCAAAGCTTCAGTTGCTCAGCATCCAGTCAGAACCCGAATGGGATGCAGATGTCGGTCCTTCACTTCTCTTCGAGGTTGAGGAGTCTATATCGAGCCTAAAACGGTGCAAAGCACCAGGACCTGACGGTCTACCTCCTGAAACTTTCAAGGATAGAGGTAGGAAATTACCGAGCAGAGTAATGGCTATACTAGATAGGATATGAGAATCAGAGGTAGTCCCGTTAGGCTGGTCTATTCCTCTGGTCATTCCACTTTATGAGAAAGAAGAGAAGTCCTCTTGTGATAGCCATAAGGGAATCAGTTTGACTGACATTGTGTCCAACATCCTAGCATCCACAGTTATAAAACGCCTAACTGGAGCTCGAGAACAGCAAACTCGAGAAAACCAGGCAGGTTTCAGACCTGGATGAGGGTATACTGGTCAGATTTTCACCATCCGACAGGTTCTGGAACACAGGCATACCTATTGGAGGCCGACACCAACAATATTTCTGGACATGGAGGCGTCATTTGACCCTGTCAATCTTGACGTGTTATGACAGTGTCTGACTATGATGGGAGCACTAAACACGTATGAAACGCTTATCCAAGCTCTATTCAAACTTAAGGAGTTATCACCAGAGTCGAAAACAACTTGTTGTATCCTCTAGAGACGCCCCATAGTCACTGTTCGTATCTTCGTTACAGATATACTAATGGACATAACTTTAGATGCGTCTGACTCCACACAGATTGATCTACTATACAGAGGTCATCTGGTTGACTTGAAGTACACAGACAACATTGTCCTGGTAAATGAAAATGCTGTCTAATTGTGGGGTCTTCTGAACGCGTTGAATAGAAATCTGAGTATGTTTGGCATTCGTTTCGCTGACACCTGTCAAATGTAAGATGATGCTCCACAACTGGTATGCTGCAAGTACTCCCAGTTTATTAGTCGGTAGTGAAGTGGTGGGATGTGTCAACCACTTCACTTACTTGTGGAGTTGCATCAGCTCGAGTGGGCTGATTGCTGACGAAGTCTCAGGTAGGATGTCGAAGGCTCGTTCGGATCTCATTCGGTGAGCTCAGGCGCAGGGTACTAAGGAGGATAGGCTGCTCGATTGATTAGGTTGTCAACCTTCATCGACGGATATGGCTTGAACCTGTTCTGCTCATACCGAGCCACCGGCTACGTCGACGTACCATACTAGGGGAGTTGGATCAGAATGGAAGTATTCATGGTGGCCAGAGTAGGACATAGCACCAGTCCATGAATTCCCTGACTGTTGGTCAGCGCCGCATGGGAAAATTTAGACTGCTTGACTTGTGATTTCGAGTCAGTAAGAGTGGATGAGAATTTTTGGTGACTTGGCTGAAAATCGACCACAGTGGTGCAGATGTATTTACTCTTTGATGTCTTCTAAAGCTTGAGTATTCTCGCTAACCTTTATCCTCGGATTGTTTATTCTGTCACGACCTTGTCTACTATGATGTCACCGGTTTTCTGTCCACTTGTTTTTTGTGCACTACTGTGAAGTTTGGCAACTTTAATCGATTCACTTGTGTTCAAGGTTTCACGCTGATTTTGCCTGTCTCTGTTTCTCCGTCACGCCTAGTTATTAAAACGGAACGAATGATCGTAAATGCCCTAGATAACGGCTGGTATTCTTCGGAATCTAACACAATTTTAAGAAACTGATCGTTGTTAGAGTCGTTGTCTCTATTCAATCATTTACTGATTCTCACTAACTTTCTAATACTTACACCGGAGTAATTTTCTGGAAGTTTCCAGATGTGACCCCACTCAGTCTAATTCATGAGAATGTCATTTAGTAGAATCCGATTTCTCTGACTCTTGTAAGTCGCATATGATCGAATTATATGCGATGTGCTGTTTTCTATTTATGGAGGTGTTTACATCCCTGTCCACACTGCTATTTGTGGTGGCTTTTATTTTAAGTTGTTCCGGGCGTTGGCATCTAGCTATGCAAACTTACGGGAATGCATTTACGTTGTTTACGCTATCTGCTTACGATCTTCGGCTCTTTAGTTAATATATCCGCGCTTCAAGTGTGAGTCTTAACAGTTTCACCCAGATCATAAAGAACCTGTTACCTGGCCTTTAATGCCTCTGAGGTAACCACAAGCGTTGAACAAGATTTTTAAAATATTTTAGGCACTCAAATTGGTACGATTGTTTTTTCTCATGATTCTAGACTACTGTCATTACTTTATCTCTTTCGTTGGTTTTATTTAATGCACTAATGCGAGTTGTACCAGTTAAACAAATAAACAATACTTCCTGACTTTATACTGTCTAATCCTGATCGTACATATTTTTTTTGTTTATCATGTGTTCATCTGTTTTGTTTTGTTTATTAAAATTATCATAACTTTTATCAGCTCCATCACTTAAAAGTGACTCTTCCCAGTAATGATTCTCAACTTGGGACACTAAGATCATCTTTTTTTCTATCGTCAAGTTCTCAACACTAGTCAGTAAGTACGGTGCTTGTTATTTACTATTATTAGTATATCTAACTCTAGATTCAACAATGACAGTTTCATCGTTAGCGGAGTATGATCCTGTTGCATATGGTGGTCGTTTTCAAATTCTCCCTAACTCATTCAGCTTTCATCGTCAGTATGCACAGATTTACACGGCACGTCTAGCTACCGCAAAGCCAGTCTTGACAATGTTGGCTGAACGCAAGTGGACAACTTCATCTTCAAAAGGTGCTACAGCTTCTCATTTCCCTACTCGAGCACTGACTGATTTGATTACTGATGAAATGTGTGTAATTATTGGTACAGTGTTTAAGGTACAAGTTTGTTTTGTATTATTTATCATTTTATTATCTAATTTTTCGTAAGCATAGTAGTGTATATGTAAAACTTCGCTTTTTGAATCGTATAACAATAATTTTTAAATGAGGCATGCACTGGTTATTATTGTCATCTGCCAGTAATTTAGGTTGGCAGTTAATGTTCGCTAAAGCTCAGAGCAATTGGAAAAAGACAGTTCATGCTAAAACAGTCACTTTTAAAGTTTGAGTTGAAATGAGTACGGGCTTTCAAGTTTGTTTAGGCAGAAATAATACTTTTCTAGAAGTAGCATTGTGGTTCAGAATCGTTTACGACGGTGCAGTTGTGTCCACTTTCCATCTATGTGTACTTTGGGCTAATGGCTGATGCCTGAAGTCAAGTCCTAAAACTTGATCTTGCATTCGACAGTTACAAAACACGCCAAACAGCTCCGATTTCTGCTTAGGGGCTTTCAGAAGATTGCATTTTGCCAGTGTCTTCGTCCAAACAGGACAGTGTCGTTTGGATACTTCACGTCAATCACAGGTATCTAAGGTGTGTCTATTAGTTCATCTGTAACGAAGTTAGTTGGAAACGGTGACGTCAGGGATCTGTGGCGGGCATCACTGGTTGGGATCACTTTGGATGACAACGCCCCTTGACCCTTACCGTAATGCTTGAGTTTGAATAGAGAGCTTGGATAAGCGTTTCATACGTGTTTAGTGCTCCCATCATAGTCAGACACTCATAACACGTCAAGATTGACAGGATCAAATGACGCCTCCATGTCCAGAAATATTGTTGGTGTCGGCCTCCAATAGGTATGCCTGTGTTCCAGAACCTGTCGGATGGTGAAAATCTGACCAGTATACCCTCATCCAGGTCTGAAACCTGCCTGGTTTTCTCGAGTTTGCTGTTCTCGAGCTCCAGTTAGGCGTTTTATAACTGTGGATGCTAGGATGTTGGACACAATGTCAGTCAAACTGATTCCCTTATGGCTATCACAAGAGGACTTCTCTTCTTTCTCATAAAGTGGAATGACCAGAGGAATAGACCAGCCTAACGGGACTACCTCTGATTCTCATATCCTATCTAGTATAGCCATTACTCTGCTCGGTAATTTCCTACCTCTATCCTTGAAAGTTTCAGGAGGTAGACCGTCAGGTCCTGGTGCTTTGCACCGTTTTAGGCTCGATATAGACTCCTCAACCTCGAAGAGAAGTGAAGGACCGACATCTGCATCCCATTCGGGTTCTGACTGGATGCTGAGCAACTGAAGCTTTGCAGTTGGCCACTTGAACTGTTTTTTATCAAACACTCCGTCCAGAAACTCGGAAGTCCGAAATGTACTGAGCAACCATATGTATGGTCATGCAGTAGGTATTGGAGCTCACTTATTGCATGAGAGCTGATACCGCTACCTTGCTTCTGACACCTCGTTAGATGGAAGGTGTTTCAAATTTGTGACTCATCTGTTGGAAGGCGAATGCCTTGTCCAATGAACTACAACTTAGAGTGCTCGCACCGTATATTGCACTTGATGATAGCTTTCTGCATCTAACTGTTCGCGAACTCAAAGGGATGCAAACAACCCAGGATTATAGTCATTGACAAATAGCTGAGGGAAACAAAGATACAGATAGACGTATTGATAAGGGATAACGATGTTAAGACATGTAATGATTGAGAAAACAGTTTTTTACACCGTGAATTTCGATTTCTCCAGGAAGATTCGATGAGTGCTTACTATTCTTTATCAATGTGGAATCATAAAATACATGTGATACTGACCAGAGACTCAAACCCAGACCCAAACAAGCAGACAAAAACAACGCCGAACCTCGTACACATGTACATACGTTTAGATTGCCACACTTCGTAGTTTACAAGGAACCAACGGATAGGAAATACTGCTATTAGAGTAGACAAACGTGTATGGGAAGAGAATTAATTTAAAACGCAAGTTAGTCAAAAAATTCATATTTTAGAAGACGTCAAAGAGTGAATGCATCTGCGCAGCATGAGAGGGAACTGCAAGTCTGTCTTATGATTCAGCTAGTTGTCATGAAATGTAATGTTAATAATAATAATAATAATAATAATAATAATAATAATAATAATAATAATAATAAGTTATAATAATAATAATGGCAGTGATGTAAATGAGTATTTGCACAATCTCATTCACTAAGTTGCGACCCAACCTTATTGTGTATGAGCTAACTACTCTACTTTTTCATCCCATGCCCAAATTACAGTTCAAGTATATGGAAGTAAAGGATGTAGTCGGTTATTCGGCGATTTATAACACCGATCCTGAGAAACATTTCAGTATCAACTAACTTTCAAAAATAACGTGTAGGCAGTGAATTACTTTCGATCTTATGAAAATTTATTGGACTACTTTTTAGTCTTTCAGAGACAAATTAAGAGAAGGGAATTAATCTTTTTCGTTTGCACTGATTTATGGAATTGATAACGACTATCACAATACCAATCTAATACTTATATGCCAGCGAATGGTAATTGTAAGTTATAAGTTTCTTAGGAAGATAATTTCTTCTTGAACATTAATTGTAAAGTTGTTTTATTATTTTTAAGGAAATGCGTTTGAAACCAAGTGTGTTGCGTGATATTGCAGCAGCGGAAACTGGCAACGTTGCGTCGGATAATCATATCGCTTCAACAGATACACAGTTTATAGTTCGTCTAACATCCGACGATGATTCACTTTTTCTTGAAGATGAAGTTCAACGTATTAATTTGTGTTTCACTAGTCAGAGTTCAAAACTTTGGCCTCAGGCTAATTTGGTTACGGGTGTTGTGATAGCAGTCCTTGGTCGTGAACCTGAATCTCAACCTGGTAATTTTTTTCTACTATGCATGCTACTTAGTCTTAGATATTTGGATATGACTGACGACTGGTCGAAGCTCTGGGCTATTGTAATTGAAATTCTTCATTAGAGTGCACTGGAAAAGGGCGTGAAACTAAATGTCTGTGAGTAGTTGAACCCTTATTGTAGTTAGGTCTGATCTTTAAGGTATTTGAATTATAAGGACTATCACTTTCTTGTCTAATGTCAACCAACATAGAAATGCGGTGTATTCACTAAGCAAAATTGTAACATCTGACTGCCTTGTTCAATTGACTATGGAGATAGTATGAAATCTGTTTTCACTTTTAGAGTCACGTCTTTGTTGTAAGCGAACGACTACGAAACCTAAATTCAGCGCATCCCTTTGTTCATTTTCAACATGAAACACACACACACTTAAAAGGGTTGACTCATTTGTCTAGGCACTTGATTTTCAGCCGACGGGTCATGGGTTCACACCCAGCAAGGTTTGGGCAGCTGGTTAGTATCATTGACTCCCTCACACAATGTGTGGCTGATTACCTACTTTACGATGGTGCACAGGGATACTAAGAGAATTTCGACCCGACTGTCGAGTCAGTTGGTTTTTGTCAAAACACGAAATAAAGGATAAAATTCAATGATATATCGAGGTCAGACAAGTTAGTTGCATTTTCTAAATATAGGTTACAACTTCTCGGCATATTTTTTCGGAGAAAAATGGCCATAAAATTAGTCTGACTACCTAATATTATTCTTGGATATTGTATAATTACATTTCCTCTGAATCGGTGTAGTCATTTTTTCACGTATCTCTGGAGGTAATGGATTTATCACAATTACTGTGATACGATTCAGTAAGAAAGTAAAAAGGGGAGTCAGGGCTTACCTGTTGTATATTCACATCAACTTTACCTTCGAAGTTAGACAATATCAACGTGGGGTTTGGTATTACTGCCTAACATATCAGTTACACTACAATATAATGCAGCAAGAAAAACGGGAAAAACTGTGATCAACATTCACAGGAAGTAATGAGAAGACAGAAAGAGGAGCTATAAAGCGTAATGTCCATCCATCCATCCATCTAAATCAACATAAAACTAGGCATTAGTGCGTAACAGTCCGAGTTGCCACAGCTCATATCAGTACATCAAGTAAAAAGGTAGTGAAGTGGAAAACTCAGTCCAAAGAAATTAAAGTGCTAAAAGAGAGAAAGGAAAAATGAGATGGTGAAATTCGGTATAGCGTTAAGATGAGGATAATGTATGTATACATCTGGGCCACTGACTTCGATTCGGAGTCATATCACCTAGAGTCTCCAACCACTGGTTCCTCTTGTCCCGCGGACCCCAACCGGGTAGTCTGCATCGCCCCCACATGACTCAAACCAACAGTCAACGACTTCATACATTGATGCCATGTTTTGTTCTGGCCGCCTCGGGCCTTTTTGCTGCCTGAACCTATTTCGGCCAACATTGTGTCACGAGGCAGATGGTGACTAGGCATACGTAACATGTGTCCCAAATATCTCAGTCGATGAAGCTCCACAACTTCATTAACTGACTTACCTCTTCTCCCTAAAACTCCACACCTGACTTCTGCGTTACTCACGTGGTGACACTACGGAATACGGCCTATACTTCGAAGGCAACGGTGGTCAAACCTTCTCATGTCTTCCACCTTCAATAGCCGTGTTTCACAACCATACAGTGGAACAGAGCGGACTGCTGTGCAGTACACGCGACCCTTAATAGACAGTCGGATATTACGGCGGCGCCATAGGTGGCGTAAGTTGGCAAAAGCCAATCGAGCCTTTTGTATCTGTGCAGATATTTCATCGGCCACTGAGACACCAGGGTAAGGCTGATCGCACTTCCCAGGTAAGTGAAGTGGTCGACACACTCAGTCACTACACTCTCTATTGTTAGCCGCGGTGGTGCACCGTTGAAGACCAATCCTGGAGCGACAATTTGCATTTGGGTGGTGAGGAACGCATCCCAAGCATTCTCAAGTTGTCACTCAAAGTGTTCAGAAGACTGCATCTTGTCGGAGTCTTCACCTAACAGGACTATGTCATCTGGATATTTTAGGCCTAACGAAAATTCTCCTGTGATTAGGTCAACCTCTGTGTAGTCAGGTGACGAGAGGGAGACCTCCACAAGAATATCTATGATGAAATTGAATAAAAGTGGAGAGAGTGGGGACCCTTGACGGACACCACTCGACGAGTACAGCTCTCTGGACATCTCACCATAGGCTCTAACATGCCCACAAGTGTTCGAGTAGAGAGCCTTCAATAAGGTGATGTAATTACTCGGTATGCCTTCCAGTGAGAGACATTGTCATAAGACTTCTGGATCAACGGAGTCAAATGCCGCTGCCTTCAGGTCGCGAAATACAGCTATCGTCGGGCGTCGGTAAGCGTGCCTGTGTTTCAGAGTCTGGCGCAGTGTGAATATTTGGTCAATACACCCGCAGCTGGGTCTAAAGCCTGCCTGGTTTTCTCGGGCTTGCTGTTCCCGAGCTCCATATAGGCATTGAAGTATTATGGAACCTAGGATCTTAGATACTATGTTCGTGAGGCTGATTCCTCCGTGGTTATCACAAGAGGACTTCCCGCCTTTCTTGAAAACCAGAATTACCAGTGATTTAGACCAGTCAAAGGGGGTCGTATTTGATTTCCGTATACTGGTTATCATTTCCGTTAACCTGACTAAGAGCACCTTAACACCGTCCTCGTATTATACTTCAGGAGTTAGTCCGTCTGATCCTGCCACTCTTCCTCCTTCCAAGTTACCTACTGCTTTCTCGACTTCTCCTAGTGTTGGGGGCCTATATCAATGTTCCATTCAGGGTTCGACTGGATAGCAGGCAACGCAGTGGTGGGTGTAGGTCAGTTAGACTGTTCCTTGAAGTGGTCTGCCCATCGTTCCAGTCGTCTCCTCTGCGAGTGAGTCGCAGATCCGTCCTTCTCCTCTATAGTCTCACTAACTCTTGTTGACCTTTTCCCTCCAGTTTCCTTAATAAGTCTAAATAACTGTCTACTGTTACCAATCGTCGCCGCCTTTTCCATCACCTTAGCTTTTATTGTCCACCACTGTTCGCGGTCGTTGCTTAGACTTTTTCTACTTTTAAGTTGTGCTCGCTCTTCATTGTGCTCAGAGTCTGCAGAAATGCTTTCACGTGTATCAATTAGTTCGAGAGAAGCTTCTGATATCCACTGGCTCTTTTTAACCACTATTTCGGATTCGAGTACGGTCTTCAACGCTGCCTTTACAGCAGACAAGATGGCAGCAAGTTTCTTCTTGGTGAGTGATAGTCTTCTGTTCCGATAACTGCCTGGTCAACTTCTCACTGAACACGGCTTTGGTTTTTTCGTTGTCCAGCTGCACTCGCAGTGGGTTTGTTGCTAAATTTTCCTAACGTTCATTGAGACGCAGGCATATACGCACTCGAACCAGCGCGTGGTCGCTAACCAAACACGTACTCCAGAAGGAGCGATAGTCTTCCACCGATCCTCTCCAGCGATGACTGATATCAGTGTGGTCTATCTGTGTCCATCGTTGAGTTGAGCTTGGTGGACGCCACGCCAGACAGTGTCTTTCTTTGTATCTGAAACTTATGCTAACTAAAAATAAGCTGTTATCTGAACACAATTGTAGTAGGCGATCACAGTTATCTGTTCGTTCAGCCGGGATTCTGAAAGTGCCTTTCTGCTTCACTCAGTCTACCCACCTGTGGATTGAAATCACCTGCAACAACCACCACATGTGATCGTTTGGCTTTCGAAAGGAGGCTAGACAGTTTTCTGTAGAACTTGTCATTCACTGCATCCGAACTGCAGTCAGTGGGTGCGTAAGCAGAGATTACAAAGAGACAGCAGCGAATTTCACTGCTCCTTTTAGCTCTCACTGAGCCGGACAGCACAGAGGCGACTATCAATCGGGATATAATAAGTAGCCCCCTAACATCCAACGAAGACCCCATTAGTGCGATGGTATCCGCTGAAGATGATGTGGTTCATTATCTTACCGCAGCAGTATGAACTCTTCTGGCAGCATAGGCAGATGTTCCAGCAACTACGAAGAGAGGATACTAGAATATACCATGGAATTTGTTCGCTGTCAGTGGCCAACCAAATTGTTTTCCGGTGGCCTACAACAGCTGTTCAGTCAAAGACCGCCTGTTTATAGTAAGTAGTTGCCTCATTTCCCAAGATAGCATTGTAGTTTCACAAACAATCCACCGCTAAATTCTACGTCACCCTATTACGTTAGCTTGTTTTTTTGTAATTCCAGATAGATTATTGTCAACAGTAGACTACTGGTTGCTTGTAGTATAAACTACAAGGTAATTTAACATGATAATAACATGCATGGTGATGCACTAATTGTGAGCTATACTTGATGCTACTACAAACACCTTGGTATATGGAGGTAGGGAAGTTTCGTGACCAAGTGGATCAACCGTCTATTCATGTTCCTCTATTCCATGAAATCATGCTCGGCATTTTTATGGAACTGCTAATCTTCTGAAGTTGAGGTAATCCTTCGTTTGAATAAAGATAAAGTATTCATGAACTCGTTTGGTTTCATCATTTTATGAAAAATTGCATTCAGTTATTTCAAAATACAGTTTTCGTTCCTTGCCACAGGCACTTTCTACGTCGAAGATATAATGTTCCTGGAACCTCAACCTGAGAAGCCTATCCAAACTCATGGAGTTCTTCATGCTGATGTCAACTCAACCATCCTTCACAATTCAGGACCTTGGCTTGGTGTTGTTTGTGGCTTAGGTTTTACAGGTAGTGGTCAAGTTAAACCAGGGCATGCAATGGCTCTTCAGTTGCTGGCTGACTGGATACGTTGTATGGGAGACTTTGATGGTTCCGTAGAGTCTCATACAAATTCTGGTTTAGTTCGTCTTCTGATTTTGGGGGACTCAATTCGGTCTACAGGATCAACTACAAATGAGGATAGCGATAAGTGCACGCCGGCTATGCGCCTTACACAACGTGTAGGTTTGGCAGACCATTTGTTATTTCTGACATGTATATAAATCAATGCTTTATTTCGCTGCAATATGATAGCACCTAGCAAAGGTCTGCGAACACGAGGTAGAACTGTGTTTAGATGTAGAATTAAAAAATATCGTTTTTATTTATTGCTGTGTTACTGACTACAATACTTCAGTTTATCTCCTCTAACTGTATACCTGAAAAGTTGTATAAAGCTTCTTCTTTATGTCCTTGACACTTAACCATGGAATTCCCCGATTACTACACTAGGTTTTGAGTGAAATGAATACGGGTATTGATAAACTTTCGGACCTATTCATTTCCATTTTTAGCACTCAGAAAAAAAGTATGCCATCTGTAAACGTCAACCCTTTTCGACAACCTATCACATTCTGTTGAGAAGTTTTGGTCTTTTGATCCAGTATCTGATTATAAATAGAACTGTACTGATCACATGGTAGTAACAGACATTAGGCTTAGTTTCAAAGTCTTTCCGACTGCGGTGTTGATTGGTGTAGGTAGTGAACTTTATCGTCACCTTTGTTCCTGATTGGATCAATCTAATATGAAACCAAGATCTACGGATTTCTGTTTATCGAGCTCATTCCCCAGCACAGTGTGTCACAAGATGGTATGATTTAAGTGTGTAGATATTTTTCGGATAGTTATGAATAATATCATGAAGGTCTGAACTGCAAAACTGTTTACCACAAGGTAAATGATTACTGTATTCAAGGATTTGTGTACTTGTATCGCATCTCGAATTCTCTCGTTCTGTGTTTTATGTAGAATATTTAAACGTTTAAATGAAGAATATCTTGAAAACACTCAAGAAGCCATGAAGTAAACTTATATGTTTTTTTTCGAGGTTACTCATACTAAACAGTCTGAATGTTTCCCCACTTTGATGTTCTTTATTTTATGCTATGGTACTGTAGCAAAGTAACCCAATACCGTTTTGTGTAGGGTTTGTGTTATTCTCTCTGTTGATCCTTAGGTACTGCCAACCTTAAACTGGGGTCAATTGGTTTGTCGTAAGTAGTTGCAATTCATCCTTAATGATGATATCATACTCATAAGATTCAAGCCCAGTACTCAGATACTGACACACCACAGTAGTTTAATGTTGTGTTCAATTTTGATGAGTCAAAGGAACGAATAAATTCATAGCTTGGCTCACGTTATTGCAGTGTTATAATCTTGCTGAGTAAACTTCCGTTCATTTTCTTTTCTTCTGATCTAGTCTATAGAATTTTTCTGACTTTGACTGTGAACTGCTTGTTTTTAGTTTGACCTTCATAGTGTATTTCCTGAGTTTAATTTTCTTCTAGGCACGCTACTTAACTCGTAATGCTGATGCTGAGACGGTTACTGCTATGGCTCGTCTAGATCAGTGGTTAGCCAGTCTTCCTATTGGACCTGGATGCAGTACTGATGGCACAGCTGTTAATGGTGTTGCTATAGATTTGTTGCCGGGACCGTCTGATCCTACATCTGTCCTCATGCCTCAACAGCCTATTCATTCAGCTGCATTGCCTTGTGCTGTTTCTCGTTCTGGTGGTATTGGAAGTAGAAATCTTTGTGGTCGTACTAATCCTTACAGTTGTATGCTAGGAAGTCGACATATTCTTGCTACTTCTGGACAAGGTGTTAATGAGCTATACAGGTATGTCTTTTCCGTTTATACGCTGAGAAATGTAATACTTGTTTGGCAGTGGTGGAAATTTTATTGAACATTTACTCTGTAATGAAATAACACTTAGTTCTGTTGAGTGAAAAAGAAAGGGGCCTGAAATCCATGCAGGTTGTTGGATATCAAATTTCAAAGGCTATTTCTGGAAAACTTTAAGCATGTTTTACCTAATCGTAATGACTAACAGCACCTCTTCAGTTTGTGAGAAATATATTCTCTTGGTTTCTGTGATACCTTTATTTTCGTCATTCATCAGCGTTACCAATGTCTTTCCAGGGGCTCCTATGCTGTTCATTGCTCTTTAGTTTGGTACTGGTCAGAATAAGTGACAAGGTTAGTATATGAAGTCACACCATCGGGTGCAAAAGGGTTGTGCTGACTTAGCATTTATTGGTGCTTTATAACTGTCTCTCTCTCCCTCGCAAACGATAACTGCTACATTGATGTGGCAGTCGGGTTTGCATATCTTAATGACCCAATGAGCTATGCTAGGGAAACGCTTGTTCCGTCAGGGTTCTGTCATGCCAGAAAGGTCTGTTAGGTAGAGGTGAAACGAAAAGCAGGTACCGTTGCAGTATGAACTATTACACTACGATGGGGGTCTGAGAGAGAAATTGTAGTGCTGACTGGAGAGGTGTGACAGCCGTAAGGTGTTTCCTCTGGATGACCAGCAGTGCTACGCTGATGCTACCTTCTCAACGGGAAGGAGGATTAGGAAAGATTGGCTTCAAAACTAACACACTACCTGTGGCCCACGGTCTTCTGAAGCCGGTGACTCGGATTGTTCCTATCCCGCGTTAGAACAACCAAACCTCAAAGCAACACCTCTCAAAAAGCCATCTGTGACGGGCCTTAAGCAGATGTCCCAGGGCCTCTGAGATCACACAAATCTTTTTCTTACTCAGGTATCTCAAAAAGAAGTAGCCTCCTATAACATGGTGGTGGTGGTGGGGGGGCAGCCGGGAAGTGTCAACCGCCTACACGCTCCCAGTAGTACACAAGACTCACCCGAACATAATCTAACCTCCTCAACTCTGTCTCCTCCCTTGCCTTCACCTTCTAATACTAATATTAAGCCTCTTATGCCCTATCCAACCTCTCACTCGGTAACCATTGCCTACGATCAAGGCCATCGAAAAGTCATTTCTAGTTTCGTAAGGCTGCGTCATCGATTTCATGTAGGAGCTTTCAGCATCCGAACTCTATGCCGGATCGGAAGAAAGCATCACTCATCAAAACCCTGAGATTCCGAGCTATAGATGTATGCTTTTGTCTCTGAGACACCTGCGTGTGGTTATTAAATTGACGTGACTTGATCCTAGTAGTGAATCTTCAAAATTCGCCATACGATTATCCGGAGACCCAGTGACTAGCTCTCGTGGACTCGCTGGTTTATGCATAGAATTCAGCTGCATGGCAGAAAGTGGATACCAGTAAACAACCGTCACTGCTTTTCGACTGAATGGATCTGTTAGGACTAGAAAGGATCGTAAGACTGGGTGGTGCGTACTCGTAATCTCGGCCTACGGACCCACTGACTGCAGTTCGGATGATGCAAGGGATGAATTCTATGAGAAGCTGTCAACCTTGCTGCTGCATGCAAAACGTTCAGATGTAGTCATGACGTCAGGTGACTTAAACACTCAAATGGGGAAGCTGAGCAAATCGGAAAGGCATGTTGGGGGGGGGGAGGGGAGGTGTATTTACAGAACCCTATGCCAACGAACCGACAACAGTGATCGTCTGTTGCAATTTTGTCCCGACAATCACTTGTTCCTGGTGAGCACTAACTTCAGGCATGAGGAGAGACAGTCTCACATGACGTCTGTCGACTTCAAACCAACGACTAACTTAGATGGATCACATTGCTACAGGTCGTCGTTGGAGAGGATCGGTGGAGGGTTGGTGCTCTCTCTGGAGTACCAGTTTGAATTTTGATCACGCGTTAGTACGGGCTGGTGTATGTTTGCGCCTTACTGGGTGCATGAAACAGGAGGGATTGGGGTCTATCTGTCCTCTATTGGAAGGTGAGGACACCAAGTACGTATTTAGATAGGAGTTAGCTGATTATTTATGTGAACGCGACGGGAATGCTCATCGTGAGGAAATCTGGCGTAATATTACGCCTATTGTAGGAGCAGCGGTGAAGACAATTGGCAACATGCCACCAAAGGTTAGCAAACGTGAATGTATTTCCGCGAAGTCATCCGAACTGATTGATGCGAGAAGGCTGATTGTAGCTTGGTCTGACTACGATGAAGAGGGAAAGCAATTTAAACGTAAGTTAACGGAGAGTCTTCACGATGATCGCAAGCAATAGTTGTTACACAGCATAATAAATGAATGAGTGGTTGAGGACTCTTTATGATATGCCTGAAAGTTGGTCACAGTGACGCGGATGTAATCAATCCTTCACGCCTAAACTTTGAATATATATATAGTAACCGTTATCTTCAGATTGTTTCTTCTCTCACCAAACTGTATCTCCTTTGATATCACTCTAATTCTATTCACCTGTTATTTGTGTACTTCTATGAAATGTGGCAACCTGAACCGATGCCCCTGCGTGCTAGATCCCACGTTGACTCTGTCTGTGTATTGTGTACGAGAAATCATGGAACTCAATGGCTATCATGTTAAAACCTTTCTTTTTTTACTGTTATGGAATGGCAAGACGGAAGTAGTGAGTGATTCTTTGGACTGTTTCTTTATTTGCCCATTCATGTCTTTGTTTTTTCTGTTTCACTCTTTTCCTTCTTAAAAACCACTGTAATTTTTTTTTCTATAGCCTATTTCTGGGAGCTAATTTAGCACCAAATTTGCGTTATAGATAAACGAACTATTATCATAATAATATCCTTCATTTTAGTTCAACAGATTTTCTTTCATCATTTGAATTAAAGTAACCGATTCATCAGTCTGTTTGAACTTTTGTTACTCCTTACTTACAAGAGAAGCTGGTGGATCACTATGTATTTATTGGATTATCTATGGGATTAAAAGGCATTTGTGTATATTTTTGTCTAATAGTTAAGGTTTTTGGAAGAGATGAACTCAGTGTCAATCAGTCAAAGTTTTGATTTATGTAACTCGCAATGTCTGACTGCGTGAAGCACTGCATCCTTGTGTGCCATTTCCAGTTGTTACATTGACAAAACCACATCGGAAAAACGATAAACAGCATTATTAAAATACATGCAAGGGGATTATTCACTTATGAGAGCAGGATGGAAGAATAGATACAGTTTCATCATTGGATTCCTGTTCGAAACATATCACCAAACATCAGCTGTCTGTTTCCACCCTCCTACAGAAAAAAAATAGTCAAAGAGCTCAAATATTTCTATACGGTAGAACTATAGACAGTAACTTCATAAACGCATGTCTTGGTCTTATGTTCACTGAAGCTTCTTCCACCCACTTCGGCATTAGATAACAAGGTACGTTAGTGCGCAGCATTGTTGGATTTGTGTTTTGGTACGAAATACGCAGACGATATTTTTCTGCTAGGTGAAGACGCTGACAAAATGCAGGATGTGTTGGACAGAAATCCGAGTGTTTGGCATGGATTTTGCTCGCACCTGTCCGATACAATGAGATGCTCCAGGACTGATCTGCAACTGTGCTTGGTTCAAACATAGGGAGTGAAGTGATGGAATGTGTTAATCGCTTCACTTACTTAGAGAGTTGCATCATCCCTAACGGTCTGGTCGCTGTCGGAATTTTAGCTCGGATACAGAAGACCCGTTTGGCATTTGTCAACTTCCGTTCCCTGTGGCGCTGACTGGTGAGATATCCGACTGTTTATCAGAGGATGAGTATACTGCACTGCAATCTGTTCTGTCTTGTTATACTCTTGGGAGACATGACTGTTAAGAGTAGAAAATATGAAACAGTTATAGGTTTTCGATCACAAGTGTTTTCATAGCATTGGTTGTGTGTGGTGGAGTCACTGTGTGAGCAGTATTGAGCTCTGGCGAAGGATACTAGGAACGGGAAGACAAGTCAGTTATTGAGGTTGTGAACTTTCATTTGATCGAGGTGGTTTGAGCATGCGTTGCGCATGCCGAACCACCACCTGCATCGAAGTGCCATGCTAGATGAAGTTGGTTTAGGCTGGTAGTGTTCAGGGTTGCCAGACTGGGACATGATGAATTCTATAATGTCTCGAACTGTTGGTTTCGGCTGCGACAGTAATCGACGGTTGGTGAAATGACTGAAAATCGGCCACAGTGACTCAGATGTATTCACTCTTTGATGTCTTCTAAAGCCTAAGTGTTTCGACTAATCTTCATTTTTGAGTTACCTCTCTTCCTATACACGTTTGTCTGCTTTGATGCCTGTGTTTCCTACTCACTTGTTCTTTGTGTACCAGTATTAGGTATGGCAACTGAAACCGATGTGCTTGTGTGCGAGGTTCCGCGTTAATTTCATCTGCCTGTCTATATCATTGTGCTAGTAATGAAACTATCATAATCACCATGCTTAATATTAGGCATTTTACTAAAATTAAAAATTTGATTTCGAGTATTTGAAATTATTCCTTTATCTGTTGCATATTTTTAATATAACCAGTAGAAATTCTAATATTCAGCACATTTTTTGTACTTTTCTTACTGGTGACTGTTATTCTTGTTCTCTTTGTTTTCCTTTCACTGTCCTATCAGATACACAAAGTTGGAGAATGGATGTGATAGGATGGAAGCCACCTTACTGTGGGGTCATCTAGCACCCACGTGCCCTGATACGTTAGGAGGATATCCAATGAATAATAACGATCCACTTCTTCTCAAACCCTTTTTTTCTACTGCATCTTCTCGTAACTGTAGTCCCGATTATCCTGATATATATATTGCTGGTTGTCAACCTAAAGAACGTCCGTCATGGCGGCGTGCTCGATTGCACTGGAATGAAGAAATAGGCGCAGATAATGCTGGTGCTCTTTTAGTGTCTGTACCTCGTTTTGATTCATCTTATTCGATTGTGCTTATCAATTTAAAATCCCTTGAATGTCGTGTAGTTCATTTTGATATGAGTTCGTTAGATGAAGAAAATAATTGTTAAATGTGTCTGCTTGATATTTGTACATTGTATTTCTTTTCTTCATGCATTTTCTCGTATCCATAGACAACCTATGAGTTAACTTTTGTTAAAAGTTTTTCTTCAGGAAAGTGTATGTGAAAATGTTACCATAAATTCATCGGGTTGACTTTCTGTTGCCTCCACGATGTAATGTCGACGCATTTGTGAAACACCTGAACTAAACTTTACTCCTCGATATCGTCATATTCAGAAACTTGTTCCAGGTTAAGTTTAATAAAATCAACAAGCAGTTATTTTCGTATGAGTAAGTTTCGATAAATCTTTTTTTACAAAGGGGGGTCATGCAGAGTGAAGCTAGGGTTTGAAATTGATTTGTATGATCGTGTAGCTGAAAGAAATGCAACTATAAAGGGATTTTACCATTTCTGAATTGGACTGTTTTTGAAGATGAATATTATCCCTTTATGTCAGAATGATTCCTCCAATGCCTAGTCAGCTATCAGATCAGTTTCACCTACAGGTGTGAAAAGTTGAAGATAGGTGCTTTATTACATTGTTTTGATTGGAGTTCCTTTTAAACTCACTGTGTATACCGGCCTAACTGCAAGTACTTAGCTAGACGTCTTCAGAGATTATTGATAGCCACCTTTACCTCACTGTTTTAAGGCTTCCCGTCGGTTTAAAAATAGGTTAAAATATCCTAAAATTTATAAGTAGTATAAAATTACAGAAATCCCATTTATTTGTGGGTTTTTCGATGAGTAAACTGTTTGGGCTATTGGTTACTAACTAGCATTGGGGAAAAATTGCAATAATAGAGGTTCAAGTTTTTTCATGAGACAAAACAACATGTGACAAATTCTAAACAATTCTCATCAAAAAGCATATGGCTGTATTGAAAAGCAAGTGAACTCATCAAGGAGATCAAATTAGTGGGGACTGATGCTTAACGGTGTATGGCTCTTTCTATCCTATGATCGGTCAGATAAATAAACTGGACGTTGCGTTTGGACTAAGTGTTGCTCTTCTTTACATTTGTATTTAACGTGCACATATATTCAATATTCACGGTGTTATTTTACGTTAACGTTATTACTAAGTATTTGTTTCTTTATCTGTCTGTTGCACTTTTTGAATTTAACAAAGAATAAAAGTCATCTCCTGGTATTATTGTGCTTGTTGTGCATCATTGTATTCTAAGTAAATACGTATTTTCTTTGTTTTGAATACAATCTTTTCAGACGTAATCGATCATTGGTTGGTGTTTTATTTTGTCTATTCGTGTGTAAACTGCTAGCTGCACTTCCAGGTGTTTGGTGGAAACTGACTGGGATTATACATGAAAAATGATGTATATAAATCAAAATGAATTATTTGACGCACTAAAATACAGAAAGTTTGCTTTCTGAGTATTGTTTTTAGCACAACTCAGGTTGGATTTTGCAGGAAATATAATTCTACGTAAAATCATAGGACACAGGAGGCATTCACGTCTGTAGCTGTCAAGTGCATTTGTTATGACCCATTGTTTTCTTAATAATTATTAATGATAATTGTATAACGAGTAACAATATGTTTGTGCAGTATCTCAGTGAAAAGTACGAAAGAAATCCTGATTGCACAATATGAAAACAAATTACAATGTTTGATGGCTGCTAAGTAAGGTTGATCTGAAGTGTGACGCACATTATCCTTCTCATAAATATACGCGTTGACGGATATGTAGTAAGAAACTGGTGGTTGACCTACCTGAAAACAAAGGAAATTGATCTGTAATATAATTTAGGTTAAACGACTGTAGAATAATAAAGTTATTTAGTATTTGCATTGTAAACAATTGGTTACATCAAAGTAGTACAGAAATTATGTATTTAAAATACATGTGATAAACATCCTTGAACGTAACTTAGTGTTCACTCGAAGTTTGCTTGAGAAGGGAAGATGATAAAAAAACGAGATAAACTATTGGGTTGATGTAGAGCTAAGGAGCTGCAATTCTGAATGTAAACAAGCTCAGTGTTGTGCAAATGTTAACGAGAATTAGGACTTACTGAGGGTTCCTAGTAGGAGAATGCAAGTGAGATAGGAAAATAAAATATGTAATGCGAGGGCGTTGTGTGAACGGACAGAAGTTTGATGAGTTAAATTAATTTATTGAATGCAATTAAGTGAAAGTTCAAATAAATAGATTACTGGTTCTGGGTGTACCTAGTCCGCCTTGTTATAGGATAAATTGGTGTTCGTATCATCTAATTTCATCATTGTTTTATTCTTCCTCATATCAGTTTACCTCCTACATATTAAGTCTATGTAAGCGATGGATTAAGGCACTTGCAACTTGATGTAATCCAACTATCGTGAGTTAAAGTGTATACTCTCGGACTCCCGTTTCGTTAACTCTACCTTTATAAGTCATTTGACGTGCAGGGGCACTATTTTGAATGGAACTTAGAAGTTTGCGAGTAGCTGTAGCGACATGATTGTGCAACTGAAAAAAATGATGAGGGGTTATGAAGTAGGATATACGATTACCCCAAACCGTTTTTCAGTATTCCGTTAAATACTACAAAACTTTGTTGGCTTTTAGTGCATGTCATTGGCCTAGAGATGTACACTGCTTCTCAGGAGCACTACTGCTACTAGTTTATTTTGGCTTAATTAAGAATGCTAATGAAAATGCATTTTTTCCCAAGAAGATCTGAAACTGCTGACGTGATTATAGTAAATCGGTATTGTGTTACATGAGAAAACTAAGAGTTCGTCAACACCTTATGAATGGTGCTGCAGGCTCAGAAGTATACGAAATGACTTTTCATGTTTTCCGTGAATCAGGTTAATATATGAGGAAAGGCTTGCTATTGTACTATGACATAGTGTCTAACATTCACTTTTCATACAAACAAAGTTGTATTTGTTGCTCTGCTATCAGTTACACCGTCATCGATAGTGATTGAACCTTATTTGCTGTCATAATTGGATGTGTCTTAGTATAAGTATCTCTACTTTTTTCACACCATTTCTTCAATTGCTGGTTACTCCACTAAGATACCTTATATATTATGTTTGGCTGAATTCATCACCTTAAAGAAGCAGTTATTTGAAGGAAGCTTGTTGTACTGACAATGTTCTCATGCATATTAGATCCTCATGGTAGTGGGTGTGTACTACTGAGGAGTTCTATACCAGGACGAAGCAGCTATCCAAGTTAACGTCTGCGCCATTTCTTTTGATCTTGAGCCATCACACAGTCTCCGACTATTGATTTCTGACGGATTCAAATCAGCTTACATGCATCAGAGCAACAGTCAATGACTTTTTAAACCAGTAACGCGTATTCATCTGTTCTTTTGAACTTTTAGTGGAGATATTTTTGAAGAAAACATCGATAGCACAGAATATAGTTTGTCCCGAGATATGAAATGTGTATTCCACAATACTAGTAAGTTGAACGCTTGAAAACAGGTAGTCATATATGCTGGACGTTGATGACACTACTTTATTGTCGGAAAGTAGGTACTGTACGTTACAAGTCGGATTGAATGTTCCTAACTACCAAGTGTTTTTCGCAAATTCCGCCCAGTGTTTTTCAACGTTCAGTTTGCGAGTGTTTCAATTGTTCAATTTTTTGTATGGTCGAATATTGTGTTTTCACTGGCATCATTTGTATTCAGTTTGTTGTGCTAATTCTTAAATATACTGAGAATGCGTTACATTAATTGAAATGAGTTTGAAGGGTCTTACTATAGAATCAGTCCGAAGTATTCAACGTGCTCATAGAAGTCTTTGCCGGCTGAGGAATGTTTCAAATCCGAAATTACTTATTTATTTGATATAGACTACAGTGATGTATTATTATTTGCTTTGTATGCTATGTCAAATACCTAAGGGTTCTGACTGTTCTGTTCTGACTGTGATTTATTCGATCTTTGTGTGAACACTGAAACCTACTGCCCGTAACCCTTTGATTTCAATCAAGAATGCAAAAACTGCATTCAATTTAGTCACTGCTACTACAGTAAATTATATCTTCGTCAGCACCTTTTGAATTTAACTTCGTCGGATTTTGGTAAATCACAATTTCCAGTGTCCAGCATGAAACCTAGAAAGAAATAATCCAGTGATCTTTCCCACGCAGTATACTTCTTTGATAATTTCCTTTGAAGCAACAACAACAAGGTTTGTAGAACAAAATGAGCTCGTTTCTACTTCACAGTCTTCTCAGCTGTAAACTCCTGATAGTGAATGTAGTGTCTATGTGGAACGAAACCGGTAACGTGCTTTTCCTTTACAACAGAACTTCCGTCTAAATTGAGGGAAATTAGAATGGTTAGAGGAAATCAAATAAAGTAGTCAGTAATATAAATGATAACAACTCATTTTCCTCAATGATAAGTAGTTGAAAGGAAAACTAAAATTTTACTAGTTGTTCACTGGGTGGTAAGACATGTAGCTTTCTAGTCTTAAGTGCTTTAGGACTGGTCGAAGTCTATCGATCTGGTTTTGCAATGTGGCCAAAAATCGAAGCGATTTGCACTGTATTTGATACTACACTCTAGGAGTCATTAAACAAAAAGCCCTGGATTTAGGTTCCATGCCTGTTTTTTCTAGTTTATTTCAGCCTGTTATGAATACTTTGCATTTCACTAGTTCCCTACGAAACTTTTAACTAATCATAAATGAATTGTATGAATCCATACTATACGAAACCATGAGCTCGAAAGTCTAAATAACTACTTATCGAAGATATCGGACAGTGATTAATCTATGTAGCGAATGGACGGGAGTCAAAAACATCAACTACTGAATAATGAAGCTATAGCTGAATTGTGGAGTGTTCTGCATAATGTGCTATTGAGTACAATTTCAAAATCGGTCGTGAGTGTGCACCACTCGTGAGTCTGACACCAGGACGAAGTAGATTTTTATTGCTTCCAAGTTATAAGTGATCTTTCAGAAATTTTTGATCTTTCATGGATAATCTGGAATAAAATTTGTCAATAATTTAGATGAGAGTGTATTCGAAAACAGAAAAAAAATTCTGAGAGTGACCAAGCGCGGTGAAGAAAATTTATATGCATGAAGTGCTTCAAAGAGATAACCCAATAGGAAGAAATAATCTAAAAATAAAAATATTGATCATACTTACAATAAATTGCCGGACCATAAAATATTCATAGTGGTAGTGCTTTTGTGTGTAATGTCCCCCAACCACCTGTTGAAATAAAATAAGGGACAGCATATTATTAAGAAAATAAAAGTCTCATATCTTCACCTGTCATTATACAATTTCACAACAGTAAAACTTTTGCCTTAAAACCACTTCCTAAAGTTATTTCAACAACTTAAACGTATGACCTTCACATGGTTAGTAATGAAGTCTTAATTCGGTGAGTTTAAACAAGTTCTAGTAATCAACTAACTTCATTGAATTCAGCCCATTATTATAGTTCACCTTATAAGTCTCTAACTTTGAAAATGTGTAAGACTATATGGCTACAGTTGATTCATTCTTCATAAATAGACTTCGATAGGCTGCAACTACATGATGGTTCACATAAATCCTATACGCATAACAAAAAACCTATACAAATATAAAAAGTGTTTGAACAGACACCATCACAATATCAGGAAGATTGTTTCTTCTGTGCATCAACCATTTACGGGGAATTATGGATTGGAAAATGTATATCACATTCCGTGACAACGAATATACAGATTTAGCATGACATTCAAGCTCACTGTAACAGCAGTACATGAACATCTGGAAATCAAAATCCAAATTTCTCTTGAGGTAGGACACTATAACTACAGTTGTGAGCAGAAATTAAAAAATGCCACAGCTGCAACTATAGATATCCATCTACTCGTCACACTACAGAAAGCACAATCGTGCGAGACTCTATCGCTTTAAAAATAAGCAAGAAGGGAAAATGTAAAGTATGCTATAACATTATTTAAACTGCTAGCACCTGCGTTAAGAAGCTAAACAAAATATGAAGAGAAAATACGTGTGACTAAATGAAATAGTGCAAATGATATAAGGTCACATCTATTCTGGATATGAGACCAGTGGGGTACACAGTCCAAGTAAGAACAGTAAGTAAGGCAAAAATGCATGCAAATTAAAACGGGGACAAGCATGACAAAAGCAATGCTACAACCAGTGGTTTAGAACTCGACAAATTTTGCTGGGCAGCATCAACAATACTACTTAATAATAGCAGAGTAGTATCAATTTTAAAGCAAAAGAGAAGTAGAAGTAGCATTAAAAGAGATTATGGGCAGAAAAATTTAATCATTCAAGGGAGGGTCAGTGATACTCCCTTGAAAAACAAACTTTAATGAGAAATCAAACTCTTTTATGCTGATTTACTCACTTTCCATCTTGTATACTTATGCATACGAAAGCTGAATTATATTTTCTGCACTCAACATCTGCTCCAGCTCTAGTATAAAATCACTGTTATCACAATGCTTAAAACAAGCAGCTATTTATTTGATCAGTGAATACTGAAATGCAAA